CCTTCCTCTGCTTCTTTAAACACTGTACACGTCCTTCTTCCCCCAGATATCTCTGTGAACGCCACCTAGTGGTAAAGATGGGACTGAGTTCTTCATGACTGGTTTATGGAAAGCCTTTACTTTTCTCTGGGCACGTTTCTGTCTTTCCTTCCAAAAGAGCAGTTCAGGTACAGAAGAAACTAGGTAGGAATACAGTCAAAAGACCCAGGCTCCACCACTCAACTTACCCTTCATGATGTGTGGATTTAGGTCAGCCACTACCTTTTCTTGGGCCTCTCTCTTCTCATTTGTACTACATTAAATATGGTCATAGAAATTGTGTTTTAATTTTTTGTGCTGATAACTGGGGCTTGAACTCAGGGCCTGGGCACTATTCTTTAGCTTTTTCACTTAAGGCTGGCATTCTACCACTTGAGCCACAGCTCCATTTCTGACTTTTGGCTGATTAATTGGAGGTAAGAGTCACACATACCTTACTAAGCCTGGACTGGCTTAACCATTATTACATACCTGTAATCCTGGCTACTCAGATCTCAGCCTACTGAGTAGCTAGGATTACAGGTGTGAGCTACTGGCACCCGGCTGAGAGTCAAATCTTGATGAGAAGGGTTTAAGCCCCTGCTCCAGTTATTTATATCTTTAGACTCTTGAATTATCCTAGTATATAAACTGCATTTACTGTCTACAATGGTTACAACCTGTGGTTACAAGAGAATTGATGATTGAATAATGATTAACTACCAAAACACTTGTGTGGCACAAAGGAAAAGACCCTATCGTGGGAGTCATGACTCTAGACAAGGGTCCTACCTTCCTTGGACTTCAGTTTAGCAGGCTTTTTCCGTTGATTTGTTCAGTAACTCTTGACACCTGTTGTGCCAGGCTCTGTTCATTGTGAATAATGAACAGCTCATAGCCACATGAGAATGGAAATCCAGTTCAGGTCTAGGAAAATAAAGTGTCACCTCTGGACACTCGATGGTGCCACTGTAAAGTCTGTTCAAGAGTTCAAGACCAGACCCGGCTGGGATTCCAGGAAATGCCTCGCAGGTTGCCCCGCCCACTCCGCGATGTCCCCGCCCACCCCGCGCAGATCCCGCCCAGAGCCCCGCCCCCTTCTCCGCCGGCGCCGGCGAGTGACGTCAGAGCCCGCGCCTGCGCCTTGCCGGAAGTCCACGGCCGCTGTCTGGTGGTGGCTGCTCTCCTTCGACCACGCCTGAGACCCGCCGAAGCCGAGCACCATGAACCGCAGCCGGCAGGTGACGTGCGTGGCCTGGGTCCGCTGCGGCGTGGCCAAAGAGACGCCCGACAAGGTG